ATTAATCACTAAAAGGACTTCATTTGTTGTTGGATTTGATAATATACATTATGGAAATAACCCTGTGCCAACATTTGAAGTCTAGGAGATGATCAATAATTGTTTAAATGTCTTTGACAATATAGTTTACAGATTTGCAAAGATATACAAGAAAGGAACCTACTCGGTGTGTGTGTGTGTGTGTGTGTGTGTGTGTGTGTACCATTATCCAGTGGTCTTTTGAAAGCCAAATCTCTTTCACACTCATGTTCTATTTAGATTCTTTGAATGACGCAGCATCTCAGCCCTGAGAGTGCTGTCTTCCTACTGATCACTGGTTTTGAAGAACAATCTAGAAAATATATTTCCTCTTCTAGGACTTTGAAAGCTGAAGTCCTTCATGTTAGCTTTGCCAGGTGCTAGGTATTTGTCTTATTTGTGTCAGGCACTAGAGGGGGAGTGTGATGTTGTACACATTCAGGGTTCTGAACTGAGAACCTGCAGGTCTAGTATTTCACACAATTCCCAGCATAGGACTTTGATCCTTTTTAAGAGACAGCAATATTCCAAAGACCTGATTTGCATAACTTTATTGTTATCTTAAATGGTATATGCTCACCAATTTTAGGAAAAGAAAGCTATGCAATATTGGAAAACAGCAAAGAATACCACTTATAATCACACTGTGTACTCCTGCCACTGGGGAGCCTTTTTCAGTGTCTGTCTGTCTGCCTCTGTCTCTGTCTGTGTCTCTCCCCCACTCTCCATCTACTTAGAAAAATACGCATAATTTTAAATAGTATGGAACAATACTTGGTGTTTCCAGAATAGTATTGTTGCAGCCTGAGGAGAAATCCAGACCCTCGATGGTAAGAATGGTGGCTACGCGGACAGAGCATCCTAGTGCCTAGGAGTGAGGTTCTCCATTCGCTAAGATTTTGGGTAAGTGACTTAATTGCCTCTGTGTGCCTCAGTTTCTTCATATGCAATATGAGGGCAATAACATTGCCTGCCCCAAAGAGTTGGTATAATTTTATATCAGATCATAGATCTACATACCTAAGATAATACATGGGGCATAGAAACTAGGTATATTTGACTATTTTTTAAAATTTTACTTTATTTTATTTTATTTTATTCTTTTTGAGACAGGGTCTCGCTATGCAGTTCAGGCTGGCCTTGAGCTCACTTTGTAGCCCA